AATGGATAAAGAAGATGTGACACATACATACAGAAGTCATTTCTAAGCAGAACAAATAGAGAGGTGGCAAATACAAGAGAGCTGCTAATGGAACTTTGAGAACAGAGAATATTGTTAAGGACAAATAGGATGATAGTTCGAGAACATGTGGCAGTGTCCAAGATTAATTTGGGAACAACAAACAAAGAGGCCTATTGATGTGTACACTTTTTTCCTCAGGACAAGATGGCCAGCCAAGTGCGGTTAATTAACAGTGAAAAATAATTAAAAATAAACACAGAATGAAAGCACAACACAACAGAAGAAAAAATAAATAAGTACAAAAACAAATCCAGAAAACAATAGAAATTGGCAATAGCTTGATAGGCAGAAACAAAGATTACTACAAGCAGTGGTGAAAATTAATAGGAACCCCAGACTAAAGAGTTGTTGGTTAGGGATTAATTGCTAGAACAATATGGATAATAATAGCAAGGGCAATGTGACAGTGACATTTTGTGTTATTATTTATAAAGCGGCAGCATTTGCATGTGTTATGTAGTTGTCAGGGCTAAATTTAATTTGGTAAATTTAATTGTCAAACTTAAATCAAGTTTCTGATAATGTAGACAAAAGGGAGATCTCCAGAGAGCAAGAGAACACAGAGGGTCAACAAGAACATGCTAGTCTTTGTAGGTTCTAAGTAATATTTTAGTTCTTCCATAGAAATGGAAATAGAAATGATGGAATAGCCTGAGTAGGTGGCTCTGTTGCTCTGAATTAAAGAACAGTAAAAAAAAAAAAAAAGCCTTAATCTGCTAATTCTTTCACTGTTACTGCTCTCTGAACTGCAAGTTAATCTTCTCAAGAATATTATACTATAGAAAATATAAGCAATGAACTTGACTCCAAAAAGATTGCCTTATTTATTATGTCTGGCTGTGTTGGGTCTTCACTGTTGCTCAGGCTTTTCTCTAGTTGCAGCAAGCGGGAGCTACTTTCTTGTGGCTTCTCACTGCTGGGGCCTCTCTTGCTGCGATGCATCAGCTGTTGGGGTGTAGGCTTCAGTAGTTGCGGCGTGTGGGCTCAGTATTTGCATCTTGGGGCTCTAGGGCACAGACTCAATAATTACGGTGCAAGAGTTCAGTTGTTCTGCAGCAAGTGGGATCTCCCCAGACCAGGGATCAAACCCAGTTCTCCTGCAATGGTAGCCAGATTCTTCACCACTGAGCCACCAGGGAAGCCCTGAACTTGACATTTTAAGCTCTGAATTTCGGGACTTCTGTCCCCAGCAAACTTGTCCCTAGACATGCTTCCCTATCTTTCTCATTTCCTCTGACCTTTGGGGCAGAGTTATTTCAGAATATCATAGGGTTAATTTAAGAAACCTTTCTGAATGCCCTGGCTAGTTCCTGACAGGACAGCTAACTCTGTAATTATTCTATTGCTAACCCAAGGCTGATTTTGCTTTCTGATCCTAATCTTTTGGCTAAGAAAATCTCAGGAGTGAAGTAGTAATATTTTTGGAATGAGGAAAATATTTTTGTCTGAAATAAGGTCCTGGTAAAGCTGAATGCTTCAGGGAAGAGAGATTTGATAGTGAACAAAGCCAACAGGTACATCAATCCATAGCTGGGAGGCAGTTCCTATAAAGGCCAAGGCTCTCAAATACAATGGATCTCTATTTCTGTCTCAAGGTTTCCTGTTTTATGTGGATATTCTGCAATATTCCAACAGAGCTGCTAAAAATATGTATCACACACAGAGTTAGAAAAGAAATTTTGATTTGCCTACCTATGAATATAAATATATATAGACACATATACATATGTATCTATGTTGTTGTTCAGTCACTAAGTCATGTCCGACTCTTTGTGACCTCATGGAATGCAGCACATCAGGCTTCCCTGTCCTCCACTATCTCCTGGAGTTTGCTCAAGTTCAAATATATACATGTATATACATTTTTATTTTAGTTTGTCATTATCTCAACAAGTTATGTCATATTTTTTTCATTTTCCAATTGTATAGTCCTTCCCTTTGCCCAGGTTGGCAAACCAAGATGATAATAATAATAATAAAAATAATAATCTACTGTTTTGATTTCAACTCTCTTTTTATGGATTGCAGATTATTTTTCCAAGTTTAACTTAATTCCCCCTTGACTACAAATGTTTAACTGATACAAGTCTGAAAGAGAAAATGCTGTACTTTTTGTCAGAAAGAAGGAGATGCTCTAAGTTCATTTTTAAATGAGCCCAACATATGAGGAAAATTACTGTAAATATGAAATTTTAATTTTTTCTTAATTTCAACAGGTTCATTCTAATAAAATAATAACAGCTTGTCCTACTAGACATTCCTTTTTTTTTCTTTTATAAGAGAGTTTACTTTAGCAACTTCTCCCCCTCCTTAAAAGTACTGTTTTTTTAAATCTCTATATCTCTATGAACCACTCAGATTTTCTGTACCATTAAATTTTCAAAGTTTAACAAGTGGGCAGGAAACACACCCTTTCATACCCTGAGTTAAGCTAGTACAAGGAAGCAGAGAAGAAAAATAAATAAATAAAGTAAATAAAGGATCTTTTTTAAATGCACAAATGAAAAGAAACTAAAGTTTGAACCTTGGAAAGACAGGACAGTGTATTCAAGGTATCCTCTGGGAGAAAACTGCTGGGGGAGTTTTCTCAAATCAACATGAATGTTTGTTTTAGTTCCATTGCTGTCATCATTATTATTTTGAGAAGAAAAAGTCCAAAAATGTATTACATTTATGGGCTTCTACCTCTTACTGTAAGGAAACAGTTGAATACAACTTAGCACAAGGCACATCCCACTGCTTTTGCAGACATGATATTAAAGATGTGTAATTGACAAATTTAGTTGATTTGCTGAATATAGTCACTTTGTCCTATACATTTTTATTTAGAGATACCAGCCATTTGTATACATCTAAAACTTGCACCTGGTCTAAAGCTCAACATTCAGAAAACTAAGATCATGGCATCTGGTCCCATCACCTCATGGGAAATAGATGGGGAGACAGTGGAAACAGTGTCAGACTTTATTTTGAGGGGTTCTAAAATCACTGCAGATGGTGACTGCAGCCATGAAATTAAAAGACGCTTACTCCTTGGAAGGAAAGTTATGACCAACCTAGATAGCATATTAAAAAGCAGAGACATTACTTTGCCAACAAAGGTCCGTCTGGTCAAGGCTATGGTTTTTCCAGTGGTCATGTATGGATGTGAGAGTTGGACTGTGAAGAAACCTGAGTGCTGAAAAATTGATGCTTTTGAACTGTGGTGTTGGAGAAGACTCTTGAGAGTCCCTTGGATTGCAAGGAGATCCAACCAGTTCATCTTGAAGGAGATAAGTCCTGTGTTCATTGGAAGGACTGATGCTGAAGCTGAAACTCCAGTACTTTGGCCACCTCATGCGAAGAGTTGACTCATTGGAAAAGACCCTGATGCTTGGAGGGATTGGGGGTAGGAGGAGAAGGGGACGACAGAAGATGAGATGGCTGGATGGCATCACTGACTCGATGGGCATGAGTTTGAGTAAACTCCGGGAGTTGGTGATGGACAGGGAGGCCTGGCGTGCTGCGATTCATGGGGTTGCAAAGAGTCGGACACAACTGAGCGACTGAACTGAACTGAAAACTTGCACCAGTTGCAGAATTCTAGTTGCTTAGGTCTAGGAAGACAGAAAAGATAAAGCTGCAGAGTGAGATAGCAACCTGTAAGTCAAGCCATCATTTAATTACTATTGTGAGTACTTGCTACACAGGAATCCAGAAAAAGAAACCAGAAGAAAATCACATGGATTTTTTTTCTCTCTTTTTTTTTTTTTCCTTATAAATTAAGATTATCAGGTATATACCAATGAGTGGTTTCCCTAGCTCAAAAGAAAACAATACGTGTTTGGTGCCATGGAGGAGGACAAGACTATGTATTTAATTACTTTAGCCTTATTTGTCCCTTGGCATGATCTGTTCCCTGATTTCACCCCAGTCAAGCTTGCTTTGAAGTCTCTGAGAAATTAAATCAACCACTTGGATCATATGTGTCCCAAAGAATGTGGTTTCTCAGGTATGAGCAATCTATCAATCCCCTGGTCTCCTTTCACTTTGGCATTCTGACAATCGTAGCAAATTCTCAGGCAAAGATTGCAGCTTATGTTTTGGTCACAGCAGCCCTTACTCAAAGTTGTTTTTTTTTTTTTTTAATTTTATTTTATTTTTTGTTGTTAATTTTTTTTTTATTAGTTGGAGGCTAATTACTTTACATTATTGCAGTGGTTTTTGTCATACATTGAAATGAATTAGCCAAGGATTTACATGTGTTCCCCATCCCGGTCCTCCCTCCCACCTCCCTCTCCACCCGATCCCTCTGGGTCTTCCCAGTGCACCAGGCCCGAGCACTTGTCTCATGTACCCAACCTGGGCTGGTGATCTGTTTCACCCTAGATAATATACATGTTTCGATGCTGTTCTCTTGAAACATCCCACCCTCGCCTTCTCCCAGAGTCCACAAGTCTGTTCTATACATACTCAAAGTTTTAAAGTTGCCAGTTCAAGGTACAGCTTTCACATCTCAAGGGACTGGTACATTTCTTGGCGATTGTGCAAACATTCTTAATTATGCCTCCAGGTAAACACACTGCTGTCTTCTTGGACAACTGAGAAGTACAAAGAATGTTTATGTGCAGGTCCAGTCCTTCCAAGTATTTGGGCTTAGACACACCTGAGTTACCACCCCGCTCTTATTGGCTGAGAAAGCTGCCCCACCTGATTTGTAACTTTACCCGCCACCGTCCATAGCTGGGGGGCAACTCGGCCAGCCAACACTGGGTTTAATCCAGTTAGAAGTGGCCAAGCAGCTCTTATTTGAAAAAACCCCTGAGTTCTGAGTTCATTACTGCAGGAAACCTGCTCTCCCTCAGCGCACAGAGAACCTGGCTTCAGAGCAGCCTCACCAGCTCAGGCGTCTGCTCAGATAAAACCCAACCTGGAGGAGAATGGCTACCTACGCCCTGCAAATCGCCGGGCTGGTGCTCGGTGGTGTGGGCATGGTGGGCACAGTGGCTGTCACGGTCATGCCTCAGTGGAGAGTGTCTGCCTTCATTGGAAGCAACATTGTGGTCTTTGAAAACCTCTGGGAAGGACTGTGGATGAGTTGCATGAGGCATGCTAACATCAGAATGCAGTGCAAAATCTACGACTCGCTGCTGGCTCTCTCTCCGGACCTGCAGGCAGCCAGAGGACTGATGTGTGCCGCCTCCGTGCTCGCCTTCCTGGCTTTCATGACGGCCGTCCTTGGCATGCAGTGTACCAGGTGCATCGGGGACGACGAGACGGTGAAAGGTCACCTTCTGCTGACCGCCGGAGTGCTCTTCATCATCACAGGCCTCGTGGTGCTCATCCCCGTGAGCTGGGTTGCCAACTCCATCATCAGAGACTTCTACAACCCAATAGTGGATATTGCCCAAAAACGGGAGCTGGGAGAAGCCCTCTACATAGGCTGGACTACAGCCCTGGTGCTGATCGCCGGAGGGATGCTCTTCTGTTGTGTTTCTTGTTGCCATGAAAAAAGCAGTAGCTACAGATATTCCATCCCGTCCCACCGCACAACCCAGAAGAGCTACCACACCACAAAAAAGTCGCCGAGCGTGTACTCCAGGAGTCAGTACGTGTAGTTATGTCTCTTTTTTAACTACCTAGAAAGCCACCCAGATGACATAGATGTCCATTCTTTCCAAAACTGAGACCCAAGGGAACATTGCTTGGCTGTTCTTAACTGCCCAGCATTACTCACAGGAACTAATTACATCAGCTCTTCATGATTCTATCATCGATTTCAGGTGAATGAGAAATTGTATACATTGCTTTGATTGTTCTGGAAAGAACAGTAATTTGTTTTCTAAAATGGTTCATGTGTTTTCTCCTTTTATTAGTTACTTCAAAATGACATTGTTAGAGACAATTCTTTTGTAACTGTGATTTCTCTATGACAGAGTGTTATGTATATAGATGAGAGTGACATTTCTGTGTCACATAAGTAGAGACAGGCTTATATAGTTCTATTTTAAATGAAACACTGATTCATTACACTGAATAAATAGAATTCAACTATTGCTTTTCAGGGGAACCAGGGGTAAGATTGAAGAAGGTTAATATTAATTGTTTAAAAACAGCTTAGTGATGAATGCACTTGATTTATAATGAAGGTTAAAATGAAAGCTTTAATCAGCAGGGTAAAGGGAGCTAAATGGCTTTTTGATATCTCGTTTTTCAGTCTAGGAGTTAGAAATCCGAATTCCTTTCTCCTCATTCTCCAGAGGCCTTCCTTTTCTTGTATATTAAATGATCGTCTTTTAAAAGGCAGATATTTTGTCAAGGGGCTTTGCATTCAAACTGCTTTTCCAGAGCTATACTAAAAAGAAAGATAAAGCTATAGTCTAAGAAATATTAAAGAGTTCAAGAAAGTGAAGATTTTTTTTCCTCAAGTTTTTGTGGTTGGAGAAGGATGTATTTTGACAAGAAATCTTATATATATATATATGTACATATGTATGTACATATATATATATGAATATTTTAATAACTATTTGTATAGAGACTTTGGACTTTCATTAATATAAATAACAGAGAGAAAAATTGTATACCTTTATTTGATTTCCAAAAAAATAAAACCGAGTTGTCCTTTGTGAACTGCATCTTCTTATATGTGGATATTTAAGTCAAAATTGTCATTTCAGTTTTCAAAGGTGAAATTTTCATTTGTTCCAATTTTGTTCAGTTTTACTAAGGTACAGGTATACTATATCTTTGTGTTTCCCTCCAGATTTGATTGAACTATTAATCTGATTTGAAAGTTTGTATATATATTTTTCTAGCTTAATCGACTATGTGTATCTGCTTTATATCCTTTGTATTAATAAATTGTGCTTTTTATATTAATTTGATATTTCATTTTTACTCATTTTTAAAATATTTTAATAACTTGTAAAGGGTTTTTAAAAACCTGACATTTTCAGCTTTGCAATTAAGAAAAGGCTTTCAAAATCACATTTTAAAGATAATGATAGATTCAGCATTAATTTTTGAGAATACAGAGTATTATATATCATTTAACATGATATGCTTACCATGATTGGATTCACACACTAGTATTTGATGCTGATAATATATTTGTAAATTTTTAAGATAATACTATAGGTTCCAAAAATCTATATCCTGCAAATATTATTATGTATGTAATGGCTATTTATGTACAAACTCTCCATAGGGTAGGGAAATATGTCCCTGCCTCTGAAAAATAGTGTTAATTAATAACAGTGGGTAATGTTTTAGGGACATGTGTTATAAACTAAGACCTCTATTGTTTTATATGAATTATATCATTAAATCTCTTATAAGACTGACATGATTAGCTCAGTTCACAGAGGAGGACCCCTCAAAACAGTTCATCGGTTAATCAGTAAATGTCAGGAAATGAAAATAAGGACTGTCTGATTTCATAGTCCAAACACTTTCTATTCAGTGCCGGCAGATTTTCTTCAGTGATGTCTAGTTAGTGAACTGATTTTTGTATGTGAAAATAACTTGGTTAACTACTGTTAGTTGGGAAAACTTTTAGTGTTTTTTCTGAGATTGGTGATTTTCCAATAACTAAATATTGATCTATCCTAGGCAATTCTGCCCTCTTGGGTCAAAACATTCATGAGAACAGAAATAAAGAAAAACTAAGTGAGCATCTTGAAGAAAAAGAAAAAAGAAAAATTATACCCAATTTTCTAAATATTGGCCTTTAATCAAACATTATTTTCAGTTATAAAGTTCTCCCAAATGGCCCAACTCAGTTTGTTATTTGCATCTTTTTCCCCTTAAAGAAAATTATAACACTACTGGCTTTCCTTGAGTAAAACCTTTTGATACTCACCTGTTGAGTATCTCAAACCTTTTTCCAACTTTCCACTTTACTAACGCCTCCTCTCTTTCCTACTTTCTAGACTTCTGTAACCAGCCTGCAGGATCTCCTTCCTCCAGCTACGTTCCATGTTCCCAGTTCAGTTCTTTCTGAAATGCAAGGGAGGGATGGGATGATTGGGAGATTGGGATTGGTGTATACCCACTACTATGTATAGAATAGATAACCTAATGAGAAGCTGCTGTATGGCTCAGGGCAGTCTGCTCAGGGCCCTGCGGTGACCTAGATGGGAGGGGAATCCAGAAGAGAGGGGATATGTGTTCGTGTACCGCTGATTCACATCGCTGTACGGGCGGAAACCACGCTGTAAAGCAACCATACTCCAATAAAAAAAAAAATTAAAAAAAAAGCAAATCAGACCCCATCACGGCCCGCCCATATTATCTGTAAGACTGCTTAGTTGCCCATAAGGTAAATCCAAATGCCTTAGCAAATAATGAGAGATAAGAAGGAAAATCCATTTTATAATCTTAACAGCAAACTTTATCATACTGTAACATCAGTGTATAACCAGTATGCTAACAGTTATAAAACAGACGTCCAGAAACTAGAATAATTCCAATGCCAAATGTCTTTTCAGTATTCTGAAAGAGATGCACTGGGGTTAGCAAGTGCTTTGGCTGGAGGCAAATTATGTGCAGAAGGAGGTTTCATAATGTAGTTTTATGGAGAAACCATATGACGTACAAAACAAATCACAGGGAAGTAAGGGATATAGTTTTGTGCTCTCACCTTACAGCTGGACTTTTTTCTCTTTCATATTGTACCACCTGCTGCCCCCACCATGAACCACGTCTGTTGACTCTGTTTCCAAAATGACCCCCTCCCACACTGCAAAAACTACAATTAAGGTACATTATCTTAAGTGTCACGTGTGTGTTTAGTCACTCAGTTGTGTCCAGCTCTTTGTGATCTCATGGACTACAGCCCACCAGGCTCCTCTGTCCATGGAATTCTCCAGGCAAGAATACTGGAGTGGGTAGCCATGTCCTCCTCCAGGGGATCTTCCAACCCAGGGATCAAACCCAGGTCTCCTGCACTGCAGGCAGATTCTTTACCCTCTGAGACACCAGGGAAGCCCACCTTAAGTGTTAGGTGTTTGGTAATGACCAAGACACAGTTTTTGTTCTCAAAGAGTTTGCAGTCTAACAAGAAAGGACAAGAGGAAGAAATGTAGTCTGTATTGCAGGCCTATCAGGTGACGCTCGCGGTAAAGCATCTGCCTGCTGATGCAGAGATGCCAGTTCCATCCCTGTGCTGGGAAGTTTCCCTGGAGAAGGGAATAACAACCTGCTCCAGTATTCTTGCCTGGAGAATTCCATGGACAGAGGAGCCTGGCAGTCTGCAGTCCATGGGGCTTCAGAGTCAGACACAACTGAGCACACACATACCAGGTGCTTGATCTTTTCTGTCTTTACCCATCAAACCTCTAAGAATGCTATGAATTACATATGGATTACAGATGAAATCAGGAGAACACTGAGCCTCAAAGATACATATATATATATATAATCCCCTAATTCAAGAACCTGTACTCTTCCTGCTATAATATGGTCCAAAGACATCTCTTCCAGAGTAAGCTTCCTGAACAATAAATGTCATCTCATTGCCCTAGCTCCAAGCCATCCAGTGACTCACTGGTCACAGAACCCTCTCACCCTCATCATCAGCCTTTGCTACCCCTAAGCTTGTCTCTTCTCTCTCCCAGCTTCTAAGTAACTTACTACTTCTCAGTTCCTGACATCCATTACCTTTCCCCTTGGGAAATATACAATGTTTTAGACTCCCATTGTATTTCCAACATCATGTCTTAAATTCACCAGGCCTCCTTCCTTGTCCTGAGAAGGCCTCCCAGAGCTGCTGGAACAGAATCCCAGCAAGCCCCTGGCCCCCACTCTGATCCCACCGAGCAAGCGGAGCCAAGCGGCAGCTGGACTGACCCAACCAACAGGCAGAGCAAAGAGAACTGCTTTCTGTGAAGCTTCAGGCTCTGCCAGATTCCAGGAGGAAAGAGAGGCACCGTGTTCAATTCTGAGAGTCAGGAGAGGCAATGGATTCCTGGTGCAGACGCCTGAGTTTGGGCCTGAAGACCTGTACTGGGCGTAAGAACGGTAGGGAGGGAAATGGGACCTTAACTGCTTCAGAAATAGTCCTGGAGGGCAGGTGGCATTTGTATACTTATGGGCTTTCCAGGTGGTGCTAGGGGTCAAGATCCCGGCTGCCAATGCAGGAGACAGAAGAGACCCAGGTTCTATCTCTGGGTTGGGAAGATCCCCTGGAGAAGGAAATGGCAACCCACTCCAGTAGCCTTGCCCAGAGAATCCCATGGACAGAGGAGCTTGGTGGGCTGCAGTCCATGGGGTCGCAGAGTCAAACATGACTGGGTGACTTAGCGTGCATACACGCATGCACGTAGTCTCAAAGGCAGCAATGTCAGGGCAGCAAAACTGCGCAAGACTTACGTAGAGGCTGGGTCCTCATTGTCCCAGGGCCTTGGAGAGCACTCTCATTGAGAGTGGAGATGAAGAGAGAGAGACAGACAGACAGACAGAGGGAGAAAGCAAGAGCTGGGGTACACAGAGGCATGTCCTTGGGCCCCAGGAGAGAGACAGCACTTTCAGGTCATTAGACCCCCAGCCAACAGTGAGAATCCCTGTCACCCTAGGGTGAGCTATTGCTAATTATAACTTAAGTTCCACGAGAAAA